ATTTCCACTCTTATGGCCTTGCGGACAAAAGCACCACGAAATCGAGAGCTACATAAGGCACATATCAAATATATATGACACAAAAGAAAAAGACAAACATTCCTTTTTGATTTGGAGCTTTTGTTAGATCTTATAAACATGTCATGTTAAAAAGAGTGTAAAGATTTAAAATTATTATAAGTAGCGCTTCAAAGCTTAAGAGTTTAATCGAAAGGACAATCAAGTAACTACACATCATATTCTAAATGAAAACATCATATTCTAAATGAAAAGAAGTTTCACGGTATGGTAATATTTGAATTGTCGTTTTGATTAATGATATTTTTCTTTGGTTTCCTAATTGTCGTCTTGATATGTATTGGTAACAACATGTCCTGAATAGTGCATGCCAACAAATTACAAATCTTGTCAGTAACATCAAGTAAAAGAAATCTCTCGCAAGACATAAGTTTCCCAAATTAATTAGACACAAAGCTTACTTATGACCCCAATTGGCTATAGAAAATCTAAACCTAAAGCAAAGTAGAGCTTCTACAAACCTAATTTTTACCTGCAGTGGCTAATAATGACATGATTACCTTCCTTGACACAAAAGCCTGAAGAGATATGGGCAAGGATATTGGAGTGTGGATTCTCAAATATATGATGAATATAAAAGAAGATMATGTCTTGCACATTCATGTTAAATCTTTTGGCTCCATCAAGAATGGTTCACAATCTGTTACCTTTGCATCTTGACACAGTGGCAAGTAACAACTAAGATATGATGTCTTGCAGAGATATTTCAAGCGAATGGACATTTCTTGGCAATGTTACCTTATGTTCTACAGGAAAACAAAGGAAAATGACGTAAAMTATAATTGAAATTAGACGCCGAAAATGAGAATGGATAGCTTAAGGTTCAAGAAKAATACAACGGGGTATTGCAGAAAATATCAGGCTAATCCCACCAATGGTTTACACAAAAGAAAAAAAAATGATAAGAAGAACATGGAACGATAATAAAGTAATTACTAATCAGATTAATCAGAGCTACAAATGTAACGTTTTTACCATAGTTCACTCAATATTACTATTCTTTAGGAATCTTTCACATTCTAGAGTTCTAACTTATTTTCTAGAGACTCTTACTTCAAGAAGAAGATCCAACATATATTGTACCAAGAGTATATCAATACCTCAACATATGAAGAATGTTTTATGCATTTGGAAGAGAAAAGGGAAACGGTTCCCTTACAATGTAAAAGAAGAAAGGAATTTTCGTCTTCTTGTATMCTCTCTCACAAAAYAAGTCTCATGAGTGAGGCTACATCTTGAATGATCTTTCCCATAAAACCAAAAAGTGAGTTTAAAGATATTAAGGAAATAAAAACTTATAGCCTTTTCAAACAGAATCATGCGTAGTCTTTTTCCATCATGAGATAATGTATCTTGCTCCCATTTTTTTCATCAACAAATCTACCACAAATCCAATACAAATGAAGTATTATTCTCAACAGATCCCATATATAAGTTAAAGACCATTCCCATGAATTATAGATACCTAACCAGATTTTACACAAACCAATGAARAATCAAAAGAAGGATACCCAAACKTTCAATATATCCAATCAAGAGCTTGGTTTTTAATGTGCAAATCTAAATCTCCAGAACGCAACTTCAAACTCAATCTCTCTCAACCATCTTTCATAATTGTTTTAGCTTCACGTGATCATAAACCTTGCTTCTGGTTTTGACTATTTCCGATCCATATTTAATAGCTTTGCTTGCCATATTCCAAGATTGTAAGCAAGACTAACATAGTTTCTAAAAGTCTTCTACTGATTTAAAGCTTATGTAATTGGAGTGTTTGATGGGAAGCTTACCTGWTTTTAAGCTCATTGATCTCAAGATTCGTAAACAAAAGAGTTTGATTCGGAAACTTGTCTTTGTCTAAGCTTGAAASGGATCATATAGATAACCAAAAGAGTAGTAACCAAAGTAACTGAATCAAGCTGCTGAAGGGTTGAAGACAATCTCGGCACCATTTAGACSAAAAGCTAACCAATTTAAAGGATGGTGTCGTCCATAACAYATGTTGARTACAATTTTCCCAAACACCGTCTCAAACACAGGATGGCCCGTGTCTCCTTCCATGTAATACGTGCTCTCGTTAAAATCTCTGACCCTCGGTATGTGATTCTACCACGACCAAGCAATAGAAATTAGCTCAGAAGAGAAAAGGTGAAGCAGCAGTAGTCATTTAGCGCATATTTACCTTTCGATGCTTGCCAATGATATTTCCATTATTCCCTATAATCACAGCGGTATTCCGAAGAARTTCACGGTGATCGATATCTCTTTCGAGAATAGGACTCACAATCACCATGTTATACTCTTTGGCATATCCTTGAAYAAACTTTGTTGATTCACCATCAACTGCAAACTCACACCATTTCTTCGCCCTCGTGCAAAACGCAAACGGCATAGTCCAAGCTTCCTATCGATAAAACCATTCCCCCCCCCAAGCAAAGATTTAAACAGTTATACTAATATTATCTTAACATAAAAGAAAAGAAATGAAGGCAAACCTACAAGCACAGTATGTTAACACKAGCAACACCCGCATCATCGATCATTGGCTCCAGCTCTTTTTTGGTTCGAGAATGGAGCAGTAGTCGGAAGAGCGAWTGAGTTTTGAATGAGACCAACTCTCA